GCGGTTAAATAAACTCCAAAAGTCACCCCTCTTAAATCTTCCTTGCTGCTGTTGCTTACAATCGGCTTTTATCTTGCCTTTGTAGGATCACAAGATGTAAACGCTCTGCAGCAGGACCACCCGGGTCTTGCAGAATATTTACTCTTTGTTGTGATGTTGAGAGGCAGACGGGGAGGATTTTGGTCACCTAGGGGGTGTTGATACGTGTCTCTAACACATCTTTCCAGGGAAGGGAGCGTACAATAGTGGTTTACTCTGTTTTAAAATAAATACGGCACAGATCAGTGCAAAAAGGGCTTAGGAAAAAGCATGATGGACAAATGGTGGAAAACAGGGCATAATTCATCATTTTATATTTTTCTAAGAATCTGATTCCCAAAGCCAGGGACTGTTCATTTGTAGAGGTGTCAGTTAAGGGAAAATAACGAGTTTTGACTGTTTCCTTGTAAAAACAAATTCCAGACATCTCACAGGTAAAAGAAACCGCGGTGTGTAAGCTCTGCAGAGACCATGCATTCTGTGAGAGGTTGTTACTGCTTGAATGCTGGGTTCCAAGGTTGCGAACCTCAAGCAATCAAAAATCATGTTGGCCTGCTCAGAAATAATAAGCCTGGCTTAAAAATCAACAAGAAAATGAAGAAACATTGGGGTCCTGTTTATTTTCCTTCTGGTTTTCAAGCTTTTTTTTGCAGCCGTGAAGGCGAGAAATTAGGATACTATGGACTTCCTTTGTAAAGCACTTTGAGATCTATTGATGAAAAGTGCTGTACAATCCCTAGCTAGGTACATAAGAATGGCCAAAGTCCATCTCGCCCAGTCTTCTGTCTTACAACAGTGGCCAATGCCAGGTGCCCCAGAGGGAATGAACAGAACAAGTAATCATCAAGTGATCCATCCCCTGTCGCCCATTTCCAGCTTCTGGCAAACAGAGGCTAGGGACACCATCCCTGTCCACCCTGGCTAATAGCCATTGATGGACCTATCCTCCATGAATGCATCTAGTTCTTTTTTGAACCCTGTTATAGTCTTGGCCTTCACAACATCCTCTGGCAAGGAGTTCCACAGGTTGACTGTGCATTGTGTGAAAAAATACTTCCTTTTGTTTCTTTTAAATCAGGTAAACCAAGGTACTTGTTTTTTAAATGACAGTGGAAATTCTCACATACGGTAGAACCTCAGAGTTACGAACACCTCAGGAATGGAGGTTGTTTGTAACTCGGAACAAAACGTTATGGTGGTTCTTTCAAAAGTTTATAACTGAACATTGACTTAATACAGCTTTGAAACTTCACTATGCAGAAGAAACACGCTGCTTTCCCTTTATTTTTTAGTAGTTTACATTTAACAGTACTGGATTTGCTGCTTTTTCTTTCTTTCTTTTTGTTTTTTTTTTGTTTCTGCTGCTGTCTGATTGCATATTTCTGGTTCCAAAGGATGTGTGTGGTTGACTGGTCAGTTTGTAACTCTGGTGTTCATAATGCTGAGGCTCTATTGTAATGACATGACTCCAGAAGATGGGGTACACTTTTTTTAAACAAAAAAACTCCTAATATCCCATGAGACTCACCAAAAAATCATGACAGTTGGCAGCACAGGGGTTCTAGAATTCCTGGGGTCCTTACCTCGCTCTCTGGCTGACCCAGCACAAGTCACTGTGCCTCAGTTTACCACGTCTGTAAAAATGAGGGTGGCAACACAGAGTAGTTTAAAAAGTATAGATTATAAAACGTGTTCTGGTGCTTTAGATGAAAAGTGTTTTTGATAGGCAAAGAGTTAATGCGTCTACCCAGCCCATGCAGTGAATCTCAAACAATATAATGTATGTAGGGGAAATTACCTCTCCAAGAACACAGCTCTGACCTTCCACTTCTAATAATCTTTGAGGAATTCTCGAGGAGTCAATTGTACATTGGCATTGTCTAACTTTAAGATTGTTTCTCAGAAGCAATTACGTGGCTTCCTGTTTCTTTTCCAAAAAGAAAAGGAGGACTTGTGGCACCTTAGAGACTAAAAAATTTACTTGAGCATAAGCTTTCGTGAGCTACAGCGCTTATGCTCAAATAAATTGGTTAGTCTCTAAGGTGCCACAAGTCCTCCTTTTCTTTTTGTGAATACAGACTAACACGGCTGCTACTCTGAAACCTGTTTCTTTTCCAGAATCCATGAGACCTTAGATTTCCTTTTGTAAGAGATTCTGGGTCTTGATTATAATTAATGTACTATTCGTACTTACACCTCAAAGCGCTTCACAAAGGGGGTCAGTAGCATTATCCCCCTTTTTACAGATGAGGAAACTGAGGCACAGAGCAAGGATGCGATTTGCCCGACATCAGCCAGCAGGGCTCTCTTTGTGCCGCTTGGGCTTTACGAAGGGGCCCTAGGCTGCTGCACTTTAAAGGAGGCTCCTTTATGGGAATCAGAATCGGGGTCTCTGGTTTGTCGAGAGAAGGGGGCCAGCCTGGGCAGAGATACTCCGAGAAGTCTTTCTCTGTCCGTGGAAACACAGGTGAGGACATCCCAGCAGCTAATGAGGTTGTTCATCAGCCCACTGGGGATCCAGGTGAGCCCTGCCCTGTAGCCTGCAGCAGCCTGTATTGATAGTCAGAAAGGAGCGGCAGCTCTGTGCCTTGCAATGCTGATAGCGATTAAGAACAGGTGACCAGAGACAGGTGCTTTTTGTCTCACTCTCTTTTTGGCTGCTTTCTTCTTGAATTAATTTATTTCTAGGGGATAGTGCACTGAACTGGGACACGGGTGGCCTGGAGTCTATCCCTGGCTCTGACGCTGACCTGCTGTTTGACCTTGGGTGAGTCACTTCCCTGCTCTGTGCCTCAGTTTCCCCAGGGAACAGACTGTCTAGTGTGTGTACAGAGGGATATGTTACATACATAGTGAGTTAATAGCTGAAGTGCCAGTAGGTGGCGATCAGGAACATCCTGGGTTTTCTAGGACCCACAAAGCTTCCTGCTGTGCATTGTAAATAGCTTCTGGTGGGCGGCTCTTGACACCTACGACAATGAGCCTTAATCTCTGTTGTTGCTAAACTAATAAAAATCACCCACTTAATGAGGTACCTGGTCCCTTCTGATCAAGCTGCTAGAATGCAAGATGCTGATGCTTAGTACTGGCACAGTGCCCTGCAAACTAGCCTCGCCTACCTCCTGTGAGTTAGGTCTTGTTTGGTGGATTGGAAGCTCTTTGGGGCAGGGACCATGTTTTAGTTCTGTGTTTGTACAGCGCCTTGCACCATGGGGCCCTTCCTGCTCCATGATGGGGGGCTCCTAGGAGTTACCGTGATGTGAATATTTTATACCCCCATTTCACAGCTGGGGAAGCAGCTTACTCTAAATTCACACAGCGCTGCGAAGACGACCCAGGAGTCCTGACATGCTATGGGATTGCACTGGTGCACTGACCCCCATGGCTGCAACTGGGACATATCCTCCCCTGTAGATAAAGCCTGAATGTGTATGCTCCTTTCCGGCCGCCTTCCCTTATCAGCCTCTGAGCACCAGCCACTGCCGCAGCTTCCTAGGCTATTGTCCTGAGTGACTGTTGTCCCAGCAGGGAGCCAGGAAGCCCCTGTTGAGCAGTGAATCTCCATCCCTGCCCCCTGCAGTGTGTATTGCAAGCTTCCCTTTGAATTCCATCAGCTGCTGATCTGCCCTTTGCTCCCAGTTTGCGAACCCTTCCTCTCCCTCCCTGCCCCACCTTACCCGGTTAGAACCACCCATGCTTTGTTGGGAGAGATCTTAGGCAGGTTTTTCTGCCTGCATTTGAAAAACCTGTGGTCTGTTTGAGGCGTTTGCCCTGGTCAGGTTCCTGGTGTGTGTACATTGTCTGCTAGACAGAGTATTTCCCCCCCCTCTCTTCTCGTTGGGTGGTGGCAGCCAGCTGTTGTGCCCCACCCCAGAAGAAGCTGCATTTCAGGCCAAAAACCGAGGTGAACCATTAGCTCCTTATCCGTCTCCAAGAGCTTTGCAAACTCTGCTGTCTGAATGCTGAGATTGCGATTGCTTGTGCAGGTGTGCCCCATCTGAGCAGCTCTTTTAGGCCTAGCCCTCTCTGCCCAACTCTTCCGCTGTTTGAGGACACCTTGGCTGGTAAAATGTAACTTGGTAAATAAGTGACTGCCAGGGGTGGGGGAGCAGCCAGCCGATCAGATGCCGGTTAGGCTCCGTTCTGTTTGCAACGCTCCAGCTGCTGGGTCTGGATCTGAACTTCCCGAAAGCAGGTGGGTGGTTCTGAGCCAGGGGCTGCAGCTTGGATTGGGTGCAGAGATTGGAAGCTGCTGTTTCAATCCAGGTCTGGGTCTAAACTAAAGAGCTGGGGTGTGTGGTGGATCTGGGGAGGGGGTGTGTGTGTGTGGGGGGGTGTTTGGGTTGTGTGTGTTGTTTTAAGCCCCCTTTTCAAGGCTTAAACCCCAGGAATGGTATGACTGGCAGTGCTTTGTGGCAGGCCCCAGCACTCCTAGGCTTGGCAGTTCAGGGCTCCAGCACCTCTGGGGACTTGCTGCATCAGTGATGAAGCTAAAACAAAATCGCTCGAGCCCGGGCACCTCTCTCATGACAAATGAAGCCCTGAAGAAGGGAAGACCCCGCTAGAAACAAAAACAAGAAGTAAACAAGCGCGGCCAGGGGGTGCAGTTTGGGTTGGATGTCTTCCTGGCGGTTTCATCACACGACATAAACTTTTAAAGATTAATCTTGAATTCCTAGAGAGTCCAGAGGGGGTTGGCAACCCTCCGCTCGCCCCTGGTGGCCCCAGATCCCGAGGGAGCTGCCCCCTAAAGCCCAGCTCTGATTCTGTTTGCCCGGGGCAGAGTTCAGGGACTGGGCTCCTCCCTCGCCCTCACAAAGATCAACTCAAGCGAGACAGTTTCGGTAGCCCCTGATGGGGGATTCCCGCCCCACCGCCAGTCCCCAGCAGCCCCCCCCGCCCCACTCACCCCTCCCCCCGTGGGAGGCTCGGCCTCTCCGGGGCTGCTCGGAGATGGGTGGGCGCTGGCCCCAGCCGGGCTCCGGAGAGAGGAGGAGACTGATTTGAATAACCGAGCTGAGCTTCCAGCTCCGCTGCTCTTTGACTTCCTGCGCCGGAGCCGGGCTGAGGCGTTCGCTGGGGTCCCTGCTGCGAGCGCCGGCCGTGTGAACGCTCCGCTCCGCTCCGGGGTGCGGCGGGCAAATCCCCCGCGGCCCCGGCTTTCCCGAGCCTGGGGCGCCGGACTATGTCTCGGATCCAATCGCTGGCCAGGACCAGGACTGACCGTACAAAGGACATCGCGTGGAAGGTCGGTGCCCCCACCCCTTTGCGGGAAAAGCATCTCGGCAATATTTGGGGGTGGGGGGGGGTTCTGGGGGCAGCTGTTTGGGGCGCAGGGTCTGGGAGGGAGGGAGGGAGGGAGGGGGCAGCTGTTTCCCTTCTAAGTCTTCCTTCGCCCGCTCTGAAAGTTGAATCCTTTATTTGAAGCCTTCCCCCAAAGCCCGAGGGGGGGAGGGAGGAGAAATGGTCTCTCTCCCCCACCCCCCGGTTTCAGATCAGTCTCTCCAGAATCGCCCAAGGACCCACTTCACGCACGCACGCAGATGGCATTTTGTCCCCTGCCTTCAGCTCTGGAGCGGTGGGGGTGGGTGTGTGGGGGGCTGTGATGGAGAGAAACCTCCCCCCCACCCCGCCCCTGGGCTGGCCAGCCGCTCGCTGGGGTCTCTCGGCCATTAGGGGAGCGGGGGAATCCCAAGCCTTGGGCAGGGGGAGAACTTTACTGGCGTGTGGAGAGAGACTCTGGCTGTCTCCGCTCTTTGTGGCTCGGCCGCTGTCTGGTTTGAGCTCTCCCTTCCCTGGGGCTGGAGGGGGGGGGGGAAGTAATCTGTATCTGAAGGGCCCCCGTGGCTGGTTCCTATTAAGCAGACATCTGCAAAACCACTTAGGCTGGGGAGAAGGTGCCTGCAAAGGGCTGAGCTGGGGAACCCCAAAGACTGAGCTGTTTTTAAAAAAGAAAACTTACAAAGTGTTTCTGTGTGTGTGTGTGTGGGGGGGGTCAGATCCATCAGCCGGGATCTGGATTCGGGGTGGGGGTTCCCATTGGATCTGTGAACTTGGAGCCCGGGGGCAGGGAGGGATTTCATGTATGTGCCATATTCATGGCAAGGGGTGATTTCGTGTCTTTAAATCCCCCCCGCTTCGCCCCCCAGTCAACAAGAAGAACCGGTAGAACATTGTAAAGAGAAACCCAGAGATTGCACCCCCCACCCCCGCGCACCAGCCCCATTGCACAGGGTAGCGTCCCGGGAAGCAGTGTAACTATCTGATGCCGTTGAGAAGGGGATTTTTGTACCCCCCTTTTCTACCCACCCACCGCCGCTTTCTTGTTGCTTCCCCCACCCCGCGCCTGTATTTATACCCCAGGGGTGACACCGGAGCTGCTGCCGCGTGGGGCAATTTATCAGCTCGGCCAGGCACAATGAAGTGGTTTCCGGAGCCATGTGATGCTCCCAGCATGGTGGTTAAAATAGCGCTGAGCTTAAAACGATGCTATTGTCCAGCCTTCCAAGGCCCCCTTTGCCAGCAGGCCTAGGGGGTTGCACAGGATGAGATCCGAGCAATCTGGGAGTCCTGGCTCCACCAGTGAAATAGGGGATCATTGCAAACACTGGGGCATGGAGAAAGGAAAGGAGCCAGCACATGTGATTTCATAATAAGCTTTGTCCTTCTAGTTTGTCTCCAAACTAGAGATGGGTTCAGGTCTTGATTCAGATTCCAGGCTTCCCCATGCTTTTGGGCCTGATCTCCCTTTATACCAGGGTCCCTTTACACCGATCTGGCAGATAAGAGGCCTCAGCGTGGTGTAATTTACCAGTTCCTTCTGCTGGAAGTGTAAAGGGACCTTGGTGTAAAGGAAGATCAGACTTCTGATTTATTATTACAGTAGCACCCACAGGCTCTAGAATCGGGCCCCCATTGTGCTTGGTGCTGTCCTTGCCAAATAGACAAAGGGTGGTTGACAGGAAGAATGATTCCCCCTCCTTTTGCAGGTGGGGGAAACTGAGGCACGGAGCTGCAGCGCCTCTCCCAAGGTGGCACAGAGTCAGTAAGCCCATCTCATGATGATGCTTGGAACCAGGGTTTTGGTTCCGGGTACATCTCTGCTCTTGAAGCTTAGGATAGTGGCAGATGAGCTGGGGTGGGGGTGGGGGGCTACCTGAGAAATGCCACTGAGAGGAGGTCTCCCTGCTAATCCCCAGCTGCTACAGTGCTAAGGAGACTGAGAAGAGAACTGTAGCTCGGTTGGGGGGGGCACGTTCCTTCCCTTGCCTGCTCATGTGGCAAGAGCTGGCCTGATGAAATGAGACCTTGGTATCTCGAAACCCAGAGCAGCCGTGTTTTTGTTGGCTGCTGGCTGATGGGAAGCTTTGAGGCCCCAGCTGGTGCCATGAGAACAGGCAGGGGGGAAACGCTGCACCCGGCAGACTGGCAGGATGCTCGTGTCTCTCGGAGGGGCAGATTGGTGCTTGCGCTTGGCACAGGTGGCTGACTGCTCTGCCAGCCGCGTTGAGTCCTGTGATTGGCAGGCCCTGGTGGGCGATAGATGGATTGGAGTTGTGGTTAAGACATCAGTATCTGGACTCCTGGGTTCTATTCCTGGCTCTGGGAGGGGGATGTATCTTAGTTGTGAGAACTGGGGCCTGGGCACCAGGGACACCTGGGTTCTCTTCCTGGTTCCAGCATGGTTAGAACAGAGGCGTGGGAGTCAGGACAACTGGGTCCTGTTCTCAGTTCAGCCACTGCCTCACTGTGTCCTCTTAGGTGTCCAGCCTCCTTCGTGCCTCAGTTTCTCTATGTGTGTGTCACCGGGGTTCAGGCTTAACTACAAACTGGTGTTGCTCTGTGTCCCCCTCTGGTGGCTGGCCTGCATGGGGGCTAAGAACCTACAACCGCTACCCTCAAATGGCATTTCCAGGAGAGCATTCACCGGGTGCCTTTTAACGCTAAAGTTCCCAGGGACAATCCCGCCTTGCGGTCAGAGTTCTTAGCGGTGCAGGGGAGGATTTTTTTGTTGCTGGCCGGCTCCTGACGGGACGTTCATATGTAGCAGCCCTCGGTGCACGTTGGGAAGAAAACGCTGAGGTGGAGCTTTCTCAGGGTCTGGTAGGGGCGGGCTGGTCATGAGCGGCTGCGTCTTGGGATGCGGGGGGGGGGGGGAGTGGTGGTTTGCATGTCAGAGGATTTCATCAGCGGCCCTGCTTGCCACACCCCATTGGGGTCTGAATGCATCTCCTCTCCCATGAGGCCTGGTGGAGGGCAGAGCTGCAGTGGGAATGACGGATCCCAGGCACTTGGAGAGCTGCCACCTTCCCCTCCTGGCTCCCGCTCCCTGCTTGCAGGCTGCTGCCAGCAGCTGTCACGGTCTTTAAAATAGTCGCCCCCACTCAAAGCCACGGGGAGCTGCCTTGCAAGAGGTGTTGGTGGCCCGGTCCTGGGATCTCCCCATGCATCTCTGCCAACTCCCCTCAATCCGCCCTGCCAAGTGCACCCACCCTCTCTCTTCTGCTAGCGAGAGTCCTCGGTTTTTGGCTGAGCAGGGTCTTCCAAGAACAGGTAGAGAGGGGGATGAGGAACGCCACACCTCCTGGGAGGTCTGGCTTCCGAGCAGACACACTGGGCACCAGAGGCTCCTGAGGTTGCTCCCAGAAGTGCCTGAAAATGACCTTGGATGAATGAATTTGCCAGGATTTGGAAGAACAAGGGTCTGGTCCTGGATCCAGGGTGGTGGAAGGTTTGAACATGGGGCCATGACACTTTTGGGAATGGGCCATGGGGGAACCACTCCGGGGGGGGGGAGGGAGGAGAAGAGAACCGCTGCTAACTGCATCTTCTGCACACATTCCACAGATAGAGAAACTGAGGCACAAACCAACACTTTGTGGATCTGGACCCTGTGGGAAAGTCCCACCGTGGGAGAAACTGGGCACAGTAGAAAGTGAGGGCTGGAAACAGCTTTGACTCAGAAATGGATGGAATGCAGGAGGTGGACCAGTGTTAGCAACTCCCATGATTTTATCCCAAGTCACTTGGTATTTGGTGTGTTTCCTTAAATCCCCAGCTCCTGGAATCATGTGAAATATACCTGAATCTCTGTTTTCATTTAAAATCTCCCTCCCACCCCCCATGAGTTTCTGTCTCTCATGGTTGCAGAGCAAAGCTTGAAAATTTGACACTCTTCTCACCCCCCCCCCCCAATTCTCAGACTCTAGAGGGCAAATAAAAGCATCCCTGCCTTATTACTGTTTTCAAAATCTCCTGGTTTTCAAATTCAATCTCATGACTTTGGGGCAAGGGGAGGGCCCTGACTCGTGAATGTGGGGGGGCGGGCGATGCTGGCTCAGCCTTGTTTATTCCATACCGGGCCTTTTGCGTCGACCGGCACCGTCGCGCATCTGGCATAAAGGGGCTGTTGTGAGCTGGGGTCTTGCTGGAAAGGTGAAGTCATGAGGGCTGAATGGGGAACCTGTGATTCGGAGGCTAGCGCCCCTGCTTTCATCTCCTGTCTGAAAGGAGCTAGTTGTACTGCTGGTCAAACTCTGCCTTGGCTTGATCTCCCGCCCCTTAAACTCTGCCGGCGTCTCCCTGCGTGTTTGGGTTTGAGGGCATCTTTTGTTGCAAAGTTAAGGGGAGGAAGGAACTGGGCATTTGAAAGATTGCTTTGTTCTGCCGGGAGTGGAACTGGAGAGCGGCTGTGCTGTTGTGTTACAGGCATGTCTGGGGAAGGTGATAAGGAGCAAAATATCCTCTGGAGAGGGGGTGAAATAATCTAAATTGGGGGGGGGGGGGGGGGGGGACTTGTTATTCATTGGTATTATTTCAGTGGCCAACTGAGACCAGAGCCCTGGTGTGCTAGGCACTGGAAGCATGCACCCTATTACTGACCCAAGCCCTCCAAAGTTGTGAGACTTCATTTAAAAATCATAAGGTTCTCTCTCTCTCTTTTAAAAGAGGGGTGTCTTTTTTTTTATTGGACTTCAGGTTTGAGGGATTATGTTTTCAAGTTTTCTTTGCAGTCTAGAAACTTTTCCCTTTTTTAAACAAATGCTGAGATTCTTGCATCATCACTTGACTCCAGGAGCTGGGGCTTTAAGAAAAAAAAAGTCACTGTCAATTGCAAGACTCCCATAAGTCTTGGGAGTGGGCAGCACTGCCTCTGTTTGATCAGCTTCAGCTGTAACTTACAAATTGCAGTTTGGTCCCATCGCTAGAAATAGGATCTTAAAAACCCACCTGCCTGCAGGAATCACT